AGTTATGCTAATGAATTTAATTTGTTGAATTGATATCTGTGATTGTGTGTGTGGGATATATCACTCGATTATTTGGTAAGTATTATCGACACCCAATGATGACTACGATGATGGGGACACCGTTCGCTGCGAGTTCTTGTGGGATTCTGTCCACGAAATGCAGTTATCCCAGTGACTTGGGGGATGCGTCCTACAGAATGGGGCGGAAGGGAAAGTAAGGGGTGAAGGGGATGGCTGGTCAGGGGGTAGAGGGATGGTGGGGAGTTTTAGCCGAAGAGACGAGGGGGTGGTGGTTCACTTGGAAAACCATCCCCTGTCGATGTCAACCCCCTCTCGTCACTACCCCGGAGTCACTCGAGGACGAGGCTCATGCAGAAATTCACTGGTTGGTTCGCCTCACCTGTCTCCATGACAACAACCAATCCCAGCGTAGAAACCCCTCTTTTCGACTCATCCCCACGAGCAATATGGCGGCTATCCAATGGAAATTCCTCTGGAAAATAGCCTGCCAGCGATTTTACTACCCCCGAAACACCAGTTCTCTCTTCTCTCTCTCTCCCTCTCTCTTTCACCACCCGGTGAGATTTCTATTTTTTTTTTTTTTTCATTTTTTACTTTTTTCGTTGCATTTTTTTTTCAACTGTTTTGATGTTTTTTTTCTATTTGTTTTGGAGGTTTTTTTTTGCAGTTTTTGTCATGTCCTTCCTGTTTCAAGAGACTCTGGGCTGTTTTCTACTGGGAAAATCATTCTTTTTGTTTCAGTTTTGTCCTTCGGAGTGGAGCGAGAGGGGGAGGGAGAAGTGGTAAGAGGTTTAATTGTTTAAATTAATTTAACTGTCGATGGGAAGATTTTCGGGGAGAGTGACATGGATTTTTTTTTTTCTTTTCATGATTTTTATTCTGATAATTTTTATATGGACCCCACGTGTAGTTTCTGAGGCTTGAAGATACCCGAGACAAGATTGGATAATTTAATATACCGAAAAAAGGTAAAGAATTAGTAACAAAACTGGCCTCGTGACCGTGGTACAAAGGGGGAGAGACTCGTGCATTATTCTTCTTTGAGATTCACCAGAAACATAACGCCCACCGACGCACGCGTCAAGGGACTGTAATTTGCCCCCCTGAAGTGAAAAAGAAAAAGGTAACGCACGTGGATAAAAACCGGGCCAATTCAAAACCAAAAAACCACACGCGTTTTGAGGGTTTTTATTTATTCATTGTTGGGTGACATCTAATTGCTACTTTCCTCTGCTTTCACATTTTTCCCAGGGAGTCAAAGAGATTTTTCAATGCAGCCATTACTTCAATATCAACAGATATCCCATCGCAAAATTAAACTTGTCATTTTTTTTATTCATCATCAACAAGTCATTTTATTTATTCAATACTCCAGTAATTCTAGCAAAAATTCTGGAAATTCAATTGTAATTAATTATTATTATATATTATATATTATTATTGATATGATAATGATAAATTAAAAGTGAATATTATTGATAGGAATGGAATTATTATTTATATGATTAATCCAAGGTATTTGTTAATTTGTTATTAATTTGGTAATGACCGATTAATCAAGTTTTGTTTAGGATTTTGTTGGAATTCATGGGCAGTTATTTACATCTGTCACGGTTGATTATGGACTCCCTCAGTTTATCAACTCTTATCAACGTCAGACCACTATTTACCGAGTACTTCGAAAAGGGTGATCTGTACTTTAACCCAGATCACGAGATGGAAGGGACAGATCAACAGATTAGATCTGAGTGCCAGGATAAAACACGAGCCATATTGCTGTGCAGATCCCACGATATATTTCCCCCTGAAGCATCAACTTGACTTCATCATTTTAATAATCACTGAATTTAATAAATCGATTAATTTTTTCAATCATTCTCAGAATATTTCATTACCAGAATATTTCGACCTTTTTTCGACATTCTAAATCAGAAGATAATTTTTTTATACACCACACATTTCTCTCCTATCAATTATACCAATAATAAACAATCCAGAATATATACATAAATATATAAATATCAAATTTCCCCTTTTTTATATTCTATTATTTTTTAATATTAATCATCTTCTTCGATTGTGATGTTCATTTTTTCTGTGAACACAAAAAATTATTATCATATCTTTTCCATTTTTTTATGAACAATTTGTTCTTGATATTGTTGAACCATGGTATACAGATGGGAAGCAATAAGCAATAATTGAAATCAGTAATTTAATGAGAGCAATCGACTAATTTATTGAGGTCTTTCTCTTCGACAGCTGTCGAGGAACATCCGAAAAAGTTCAATAGCTAATGAATATTTAACACATTAATTTGTTTATATAATGTTAAATAAACGATCAAGTTCAGAAAGTGACGGAGACCTCCCAAGCATTTCTTTTCATGTACAGACTACGGCACTCTTAATAAACTTTAAATAAACAATATTTAAAGAAATTTAAAGGATTATTTTGCATATTGCAACGGGTATTGAATGCATTTTTTGTGAGGATACAAATTTTACGGGGGTATTGAGTTTCCTT